ATCTATCTATCTATCTATCTATCTATCTATCTATCTATCTATCTATCATCTATCTATCTATCATCTATCTATCTATCTATCTATCTATCTATCTATCTATCTATCTATCTATCTTATCTATCTAACAAGAAAGACATTTTCCTGTTAGAAAATTAACAGGAAAGACAACAGCAATTTGTATCAGCCAAAGAATGGTATGTTAACATGGTATGTTAAGTTATAATTTCAGGGTGTCTTGAAATTGCCCTTTCATGGAACCTCCGTTTTTTCCTTCCACTCACCCCCTTGATTTTCCATTTTCTCTTGTTACCAATAGTCTAGGACTAGAGAGTCTACTGAATTATAAGTGGACCTCTGCTAACCTGGGGCTTATTCGAGCTTGTTAATACCGAAATATCTTTCTGCATCTGGATGGTGCCATTCTACAAAAGGTTACGCACCACAAATTAGATGCTAGAGGCATTGATTTTATATATGTACCTTGTCTTTTTACAGTAGCCATAATATGACAAAATAAAACACTAAGATAACATAAATGCTAACATAAATGTTAAAGGTAAAAATCAAGAACATTTATTAAAGAAAGCCTGGAATAATGCACAATAAAATAGAACAAATACAACTGAAGCTTCTTTTTTCTTTTTAAATTCTGGTAGCCAAAACTGTTACAGTGAAAAGGTCAAGGCAAAATAAAAAACGGATGAAATTAATAAATAAAAATGCTTCTCGAAGGAGAAACTTTTTTAGCGGGGAGAGGGGCAGGAACTCCCCCTTGCATCCTGTGTTTCATATGAGCATTAAGAAAGATACTTTTGCAACTACAAATAAAGTAATAGGGAAAGGAAAGATCTGGGAAATAGGAAAAACAGCAGCTGACATTTGGTGAAAAGATACAATGAACTTTCAAGATGACTGCAAGGCAGAAATACCCCTGATTTTCTTATTCGTTTTTCTTCCATCTTTGCTTGATTGTTTGATTCAATTCAAGCTAAAAATCTAGGCCATTATTTTTACTAAAGTTGCTGGAAGGAAGAACCTCTCTTTTCTTCTTAATGTACAAACCCAAACACACATGTAATGCTGAACCTAAGAATAAGAATAAGTTCCTGAAATTTAGAGTTTGAATACTTGGCCTTAGATGCAAAACTAGATGTATGTAGCAAGAAACCTATATTGGGTTGGGCCAGGGAGCCAAAAAACATATATTAGATAGTTAGTTTGGTATAGTGGTTAAGGCACCAAGCTAAAAACCAGGAGGCTGTGAGTTCTAATCCTGTCTTAAACTCGAAAACCATCTGGGTGATTTTGGACCAGTTATTCTCTCTCAGCCCTGCCCACCTCACTGGGTTGTTATGTGGAAGAAACAGGAGGAAGAAGGAGTATTATGTATGTTTTTCACCTTGAATTATTTATAAAAGTAATAAAGGCAGCATAACAAAAACTAAGAAATAAAATACAGTATAAATAACTCAAGATGACTTATTCACTAATCCAGCTAAATAACTTTTCCCTAATTTGATGTTTTAAAAGTATACATTGGACTGCCATTGCCACTATGGTACACATGAATTGATAGACAATTTCTGAACAGTCTGGGACAATTGGATCAGATGTTAGAAAATGTAAAGGCATCAGTCTAATAAAATTCTGTATTTATGTCGGAATGGAGAATGAAAGAGGATGGGAAAAGATTGCATCTTTAAGTATTTGCCGCAGTTCTCCAGTTACAAGAGAAAGAATTAATCCTGTTACATGTTGGTGATTTCCTAGAAGTTGGAGTTTGGTTGCAAATCTATATATATAAAAGTGAAATACCACTCACGCATCATCATAAAATCTCCAGAACCGTAAAGCCTACAAACTTAAAATTTGGCACATATGTTTCTCTTGGCTTCTAGGTGCTCACTAAGAAAGGATTTTTCAAAAAGGCCATCAGAGCATTAGTATTTCATATATCATTATTAACACGCTCTGAGTTCCACTTCCTCTCCCTGCCTGAAAAGAAATCTGTTCCAAATGTAAAACACAAGCAGAGGAGTTTCAGTTTTAGTTTCACAGCAGCAACCAGCTTTAGTACAGAACAGTTGAGCTAAGCCATGTCCAGGCTCCTTGCTGTCTCCTCTTTGCTCATACAGCAAATACTGTTTCAGTTTCCATGTTTCAGTTTCCAAACAGCCCTCAACTCTCTCACACACTGACAGGACACTAGCCAGATGAATACCGATGGATGCTGGTAGGCAGAGGCACAATTCCCCCCACTTATTTTCCTCCCTAAAAACTAAGCCTGATTACATAGTTTCATAGCAAAGCATGGCTATAGAGCTAATTTACTCATATTTGGAAGAGACCAAAGGAAGTCAAAAAGAGTTACGCTTATTTCTATATTTGAAATGTTATACATTGATAATGCTTAATCTTGCTTAATCTTACTTCTGCAACCTTTGGAATAATGATCTTGAATGGCATGTTTTTGTAAATCAATGGCAGAGTTGTTCAGAAAAACTAGATATTAATTTATTTATGAAATGCCTTAAGGTGGTCCTCCAGCAGACTTGGGGCACCTTACCAAATATGAATTCCAGAGATATGAATTTCATTGCAATTTAAAATCAGGTTACTACAACTGAAAATATAGTGGAAACCCCAGAAAACGTACAATTATGATTGATTACATTGTCTTACTGCTTGGAATGCAATTTGTGAACTGTAATATTAATTCATCTGATCTCAGTTACCATCTTTGGCACCAACCCTGTGAGATGAATTGGGCTTAGAGAATGAGTGACTGGCCCAGGTACACCTGCACTGTCCATTTTGAATATAGTTGAAAGAGGAAGCTTGAAAGGGTTCTCAAGATCGGTGCTACATGGAACAAAACTGACTGAATCTAGATGTTCTGCTTCAGATACCATGAAGCCCCCACCCCCGTGTGTTTGTGTGTTGTATAGGTATGGGTAGACATATACTGTACACTTTCTTTTGAAAACAGACAATAGAATTTCATTTTCAATGTGTGTCATGTGCCCACAATAAAAAAATGGCAATAAGGGTTAACTTAATGGGGATGCGTTCAAGAACAAGCAAAAATCGTGTCTCAACTTGGAACCCTTTGGCACTTGAGAGACCCCCGCCAAGAGCGGGGAGTCTGCTCTTCCTCCACCTCCTTAGCCTTAGGATCTCAGGGTTTCTTCGCTGACGGGAGTCTGCGGAGAGCATCCGTCACGCCTCTCCAGCGACGCGAGAGGTTGCCGCTTACGAAAGCAGAACGGGTGTCTGCTGTAATTCCCGAAAGCCGCCACCAGGGGCTCCCGAGTCTCCTCCCCCCCCCCCCCCCCCAAGTCTCCGCCTTTTCCTTCGCATGCGGTTGCCTTATGGCCGCTTGCGGAAGCTTGGCTGGGGAGGGAAGCGTGTCATTTGTCGGGTGAGCCGCAGGCAGGACCGGCGGGAGAGTGGCCGATCGGCGTGGGGAGCGGACATCCCCGAGAGGTACCTGGACAAGGGGAGGGCGGGGGCAGGTAGAACAGGGAGGGGAAGAAGGGCCTCCCCCAGAAATGGGGAAGGTTTGAAGGAAGGGAAAATAAAGAAAAGGGAGATTCCCCCCTCCAGGAGAAAAGGGGTTCATCATGGGGGGTAGGGAAGAAGGCAAGGACATTGGGGTCTCCCCGAACTCACTCCGTCAATTTCTTGGAAACCTGTAGCTGGTTGTAACCTGTATTTGGCCTTTAGGGAAATGCCAGTCCCGTTTCTCAGAAAGGCAAATCGCCACCCCCCCACCCCCCCGTCAAACTCCCTTTGGCATGTCCGGGAAAATCCTGTAGTCTTCAATTACTTAGTGGAAAACCTTCTCTCCCCTCCACCTCCCCACCATGCCATTTCGGCTCCCTGCTTGTAAATAAGGTGCCGGCCTTCCCCACCTTCAGAGCGATTATTACCTATTTGTAAACATTACAACAGTCCTGCACTGTAGGTCAGTACTACACATCTCCTGGGAAGAAGACGTTGGCATGGCGAGAAGAGCCTAAGGCCCACCTAGTAATTTCGTGGCAGGCTGGCTCAGAGCTCTGGACTTTCTGATTCCTAACTTTACATTTCTAGAGCTTCAGGAGAGACAACTGGGAAAAAGATTTCTGGCGATTTTTGGAAAACGAAAGCAAGAATTGAGGTGCTCTCTGAGTTGCTTGTTTTCTTGCAGGCGTTTCGTTAGCCAAACTAGGTAATGTCATCAGTGCTAGTGAGGAGTGCAGTTTCCTGTCAGTTTATATTCTATAGAAGAGAATTATATTCTATAGAATTAGAATATAAACTGACAGGAAACTGCACTCCTTACTAGCACTGATGACATTACCTAGTTTGGCTAATGAAACGCCTGCAAGAAAACAAGCAACTCAGAGAGCACCTCATGTCAAACCTAAGCTACAAATATTCTTCAATAGGAGCAAGAACTGCGTAGGATGAGTTATTGCTTTTGTTTATTTTTTCATGCCTTCTTTTGTACGTAATTCTTTCACTGCTTTATTTCAGCCTTGAAACAACAGTCTTGTAAGGTAGATTAAGCTGAGAGCAAAGGAAATGTCCAAAGTACAGGTTGTTCTCTATTTGCAACAGTTCATTTAGTGACTGAAGTTACAACACTGAAAAAAGTGATATGGCCATTTTTCAAACTTTCAGCATCCCCATGGACACATGATCTAAATCCAGACACTTGGCAGCTGACTCATATTTATGACGGTTGCAGTGTCCCGGGGTCACCTGATCACCTTTTGCAACCTTTTGACAAGCAGAGTCAATGGGGAAGACAGATTGACTTCACAATCGTATTACTAACTGCAATGATTCACTTAGCAACTGTGGCAGGGAAGATCGTAAGATGGGGCAAAATTCATTTAACAAATGTCTCACTTAGCATCAGAAATTTGGGGCTTAGTTGTGGTTATAAGTCGAGAATTACTTGTAATTTTGAGATTATGCCACACCAATAAATAATGGCCTTGGGATTTGTTGGGGTGATAATACAATAATCCTCATACCTTGGTTCAGAGTTTACAATTATCAGTTTGGATCCATGCATGACTTAGGAACCAAAATAGCATAATTTGTCTGTTGATCTACAGTTGGAGGCAATGAAAATTCCTATTACATGATGCTGGACTGGGGACAAGAACTAGTTCACACTTGACATGATTTATCCCTTGGGTTACATCAGGAGAGCCAGTTTGGTTAAGGCACCAGGCTTGAAACCAAGAAATAGTGAATTTGAGTCCTGCCTTAAGCATGAAAGCTGGCTGGATGACTTTAGGCCAGTAACTCTCAGCCCAACCTACCACACAAGGCTGTTGTAGAGAAAGTAGGAAGAGGAAGGAGGATTAGACATGTTCACCACCTTGAATTATGTATTATTTTTCAATTTCATTGTACACATGTTGTGCATTGACAATAAACATTTGATTTGATTTATAAAAGAAAGTAATGATAAAATATTGAATAAAAAGGTAGAATGAATGAGCTGAGTTCTTCACTGGTGTTGTTTGTATACATATATAGAGTGGAATTTGTGGGATTCAGGTTTTCCAGAACAGGATTTCTCATCTGTATTCTATCTTATTCTTCCTATTCTCATATCTTCCAAAGTGTTGTTTTTTTATGGACAATATTCTGTTCTCATCCATTTTCCCATGAAAGAAATCCTAAAATTCTTTAGCTAAGTCTCCACAGCTGACATCTAGTGGGCAAAAGCTAGTTACAATTCTCTAAGCAATCGAAAATTAGAAGATAGTCTTTTAGGATATCTTGGTAGTTAGAGATATGTAACTTCTCACTCAATAATTCAGACAAAAAATGGAATTATACCTATTCAGAGTAAGTGATGGTTTCCTTTCCCTGAATGTGTTCAGACAAAAGAATCTCAGATTATTTAATTGGATTCCTGCATTGAGCAGGAAACTGGTCTTCTATGATCCATTTTTGTATAATAGTTAAGGGCTGAATTTGCTCAGTGGCCATGAAGTAAGTATTAGGTGTACCATGTGATGGTTGAAAAGTTTGTCTGCAGGGGAGAAGTAAAAAAAGTCAAGATGGTGCATCACACATCACACATAAAAAGAGACGGGGCTTTGATTTTATGGTTATGGTTGTAGCTTTTTTTGACTTCCTAGCACAAGGGTTCCCAACCTTGGCAGCTTTAAGGTGCATGAACTTCAACTCCCAGAATTCCCCAGCTAGCCATGCTGGCTGGGGAATTCTGGGAGATGAAGTCCACATGTCATTTCTCTCATTTTAAAGTTGCCAAGATTGGGAATCTCTGCCCTAGCAGATAGCTTGGATTGTTGTGTGGGAGAAGTACGAATGGAATTAAGTCTTCTGACTCTAAAGAAAAATTAAGGCTGGCAAGCTGGCACTCTGGTGAAGAACACTTGTATTGGGTTAAGTTTTTGCTTATAAAGAGGGAAGAGGTATTTCTGAAAAGTGAGGACTGAAGCAAAGATATGGCTGATCTTGTGGTTAGGCTCCCAGTGGGTTTTCTCCCCCTTCCACTTATTCTTCTTTCTGTTTCTTTCTTTGCAGTTCCTTTACAGTTTTGGTGATTTGCCTCCACGTTCGTGACTTGCGTCCACGTTCCCCAACCATGGCTGAAGGGGGTACAGATGGGAACCAGCCACCGCGCGAGCATCCCCGCAATTTGCAGGGGCTGCTACAGATGGCAGTCATGGCAGGCAATGCCGAACCTGGTCAGACGGAACCTATGTCTGATGAGGTGTGCACCTGGGCTCATCAGGAGAGGGAATCGAGTCCATCGTTTAGACACAAGGGATTCCTGATTATCCAGGCAGGAAATAAGATACAAAGCAGAGGCCCTAGATTTACTAGTAGGATGTTGGACAAGGATAATGGACGCATGGATTCAAGTCCATTCTTAGACAGGGAAACTTGCTGGATGGCTTTGGAGAGTTAGCAGAATCCACTTCATGGGCTTGTTTGGGTTTTTGGGAGAAAAAATAGAAGAGAGAATGTATAGTTCCTGGACGAAAGACTACCTTTAAATCTAGATCAGTGTTTCTCAACTTTAATCATTTTAAGATGTGTGGACTTCAACTCCAGAATACGCCAGCCAGCAAATGCTGGCTAGGGAATTCTGGGAGTTGAAGTCCACATCTTAAAATGACTAAGGATGGAAAACACTGATCTAGATGATGATGGTAATGTTAATTATCAGCCTATATTATGTGCAAGAAGAAAGGGGAAAAAAGTGCATCTCTAACAAACCTTATTTACAATGGCAGAATTACTTTTAATAGAATTCATTGAGGGAAAGGTGAAAACTAAACATATAAACACTTCTGATGCCTTCAGCAAGGAAATGAGATGTTATCATCCTAAATTAAGCACTGAGTCTTCCTAAGAATTAGGAAAACCTGGGTTTAATCTATCCCTAGACATGGTAATATCGGATCTGTGGTGCTCTCTCAAATTAATTTAATTAATAGGATTATTGTTGATTTTTTCCCCTGGTTCTTATTTAGTTATACTAGGTTTTTTTGTATTTACTGATTAGTTACTCACTGGTGATTGTGCTACATTATTGCCTTTGGGATAACTGCTTGTGCCACCATCTTCATACCGCATATTGCTCTGAGAGAAAAAAGTTAGCTCTAATACAGCATTTAAGGCATCCTAAACACAAAAAGAGAAGATTGTTTACCGATTTTCATTCCTCTCCTCTCCTTCTCACCACTAATGGTCAATTTCCCAGAGGAGACAGTGGTTGCAGGAAGCCATGGTTGAGGCATTTCGTGGTCAGATGGATGAAGTGGAGCAAATGAAGGAATGCCTGCGTATTTTAGAAGAGTTAAGCCCAGGAGCAGAACGTGGGGAAAGTTCAGAGGAAACGCATTCAGATCTTGATCGAAGGGAAAGTGCCCTCGATGTACTGGCAGAGTTGTGTGAAAACTTGGATAACGCTGCAGGTACAAAAACAATCTCATACCTGTGTACGTGAAAAATTGTTATTTGAGCATAAGAGGTCCATACTGCAGTATTATTTTCCCTGATTCCAACTCAGATGTTTCAGAAAAAGGAAGCATATATCTTTCTAAGAGGAAATTCACTTATAGCACAGGGTTTCTCAACCTCGGCAACTTTAAGACATGTGGACTTCAACTCCCAGAATTCCCTCAGTTAGCCCTTCTAAAGTCCACACGTCTTCTTAAAAGTTTGGGAAACTTTGACTTAAAATAATGATTACAGCCAAGCCAAGTTATTGCAAGATAAGGAATTCAAAACCAGCTGAGCTGAATAAAATTTTTGCCCCACCATATGGTCACTTGTCCCAAGAAAAAGAAAACCTTCACCAGCACTTCCCAAAGAAAATGTAACAGGAAGCTTAAATCAAAGGGGAGTGACTTTTGAAAGCCAGCCCCTACACTAATTTTATGGCTTCGGGGATTATGGGCATGCTGTTAATGCAAATTGAGAAGTATTTGGAAAAGGTATTTTTAAAAGGATGGGTTTTTCATGGTTTTACATGTATAAAATCAAACAAAGGCTTGTTTGTTTTTATTTCTGAGAAATTACACTTTGCACTTGGGCAATTTGGAGCAGTATAATCTGGGTGGGCTTCAAAGGATTTTGGGATGGGAAGTACACATGGGTGCAGTTCATTGACTGGTAGGTATAATTCTTAATATGCAAAATACGCTAGTGGAAATCACTGGAGAATCACAAATGTAAAAGTACAGATTTCCAGAATTCTCAGCTTAAGTATATTTACTGTAGAATTCTGGGAGTTGAAGTCCACATACCTGGAGGTCATTCAAGTTGAGAAAGCAGTTGTATCCTTACTCCTTGAGCCACAACAGAGTGAGTAGGACCAGGAGAAGTTAGCAGGTATTCTAGCCAGTATCACTGTTTTCTTTTGTTACAGACATTCCTCGAGTAACAACTGTAATCAGGACCGGAAATATTGTTATAAATCATATTGGTCTTTAAGCAGCTCATAAAGCGACTGACCTGATTTTACAACTTTTTTATGTCAGTGGTTAAGTGAATTACTATGGCTGTTCTGTAAATCTGAGGTTATTAAACTTCAATGGCTGTGTTTTGCTAGAAACTGGAAGAAAACAGCAATTTCTGGAAAACAAAAACCCAGTGTAAATTGTGATTTGAGCTTCAGATGCTACGAATGGTCATAAATGCAGTCTGGTTGCTGAACACCAAAATGCTATTGTATGATCGCAAGGTGTGTGTATGTGTGTGTGTCAGAACTTTGTGTTCAGGTCACAATACATTTTCATGGACCATCATAACTTTGAACCATTGCTAAGTGATTGGTTGTAAGTCAAGGGCTACCTGTATTGCTTTCAATCATCTTCCAGATTTCTGCAAACTGGAGGGCATGCGGCTGTTGGCCCACCGATACTTGGAACATGAAGAGCAGGAAATGCGATGGCGAACTGCCCATCTGGTGGGCACCTGTGCCCAAAACGTGCCTATGGTTCAAGAGCAGGCCCTGGCATTGGGCTGCATGAGGAAGCTGCTGCGGCTGCTGGATCATGACCCCAGCGAGGCTGTTCGGATCAAGGCGCTCTTTGCCATTTCTTGTGAGTGGAGTGGCTGCTTAGTGAATGAGAGCCAAGCTGAAAGCAATGTAGGAGATCTCTCCCAATATGGCGGTTAGCTGTGCAACGCTGGAAAAAGAAATCTAGTGTTTTTATTTTCTTAGACAACAACGTCCATTTAATGAGCCCATTAAATGAGCCTGGTGAGAATAGGTGGCAATATAAATTCCCTAAATAAAATAATATAAATAAATAAAACAGAGAGTGGGCAGTTAAGAAATATGAAGTATGTATGTATGTATGTTATGTATGCATGTATGTATGTGTAAATACCAAACAAGTAAGTACTGGAACCATTTACGGTAGAGAAAAGGAGGAGGAATATTTAGTGCTTCCATAACAACCACTTTCCTGATCAGTTAGGAAACCAATTGTTTTGACTTTTTAAAATGTGTTTATGATTATTATCACTTTTAGCAGTTGGGTTATTAATGAATTGGGTCATTCTACACATCAGTGTGGCAAACCTTATGATATTTTGCATTACCACTCCGGTGAGTTTTAACCATCATAATAACCGCAAGAGACTGTGAAGTTTTAGGTCAATATATCATGGAGGTAAAGAGTTTTCTTACCTTAAACTGCTTTCTGTTCTTTTTTTTCTTCTTTCTGAGACACTGTCAAAAGCAGCTAGCAGCATTCTAAAAACAGGCAGCAAAAATCAAAGCACCACACACACTTAGTGAAAATGCTGTAATTGGTTGCAAATTGCCTCTTGTCCTTATGCCTAAACAGCACAGGATTCTGTGGATGCTAAGATACTCTGGCCTATTGGAGTTTTCCTGAAACAAACCATTATTAGATGCCTGGAGCAAACTTGGAATGTACAGCTCAGGAACCCAAATTTGTCATTTGAAAATCATGTCCTCGACAGTGGAATTTATCTAGACATTGGGAGTTAATTCCAATGTTCAAGTTGATTGTAGGAAAGTATGGCCTGAAGGTGATAGGTGAGCAGGAGTGAATACCAGGATTTCATATAATTGTCATGGCTGTTCTGGTATTTAATGAATGTTGTAGGATATAATTATAGTGATTCTTGGATAATAGCATTCTCGTTCTTCGTTATACTATCTGGGGATGAAATAAGTGGATGGGATGTGAATCTTGACCTGGGTTTGGAACTGCATGAGGTCATCTGCACCTTGTTCCATCATTGTTCAGTCTGCGTTTGCTCATTCTCATCCTTTCTTGATATTTCCTTCTGCTACCAGGCTTAGTAAGAGCCCAAGAAGCTGGCCTACAGCAATTCTTACGCCTTGATGGTTTCTCTGTCCTCATGAGGGCCATGCAGAGTAATGTACAGAAACTGAAGGTGAAATCAGCCTTCCTCCTCCAGAATCTTCTCATAAACCACCCAGAACAAAAAGGTCAGAGTCTTTTTTTTTTTTAATGGGGATATGGGTGAAAAAAGAGCAGGAAGGGAGTTGCTGTCCTTCGTGGCAAGTTGACTTTCTCCTACTTCATTTTAGGAATCATGTCAGTCTAACCCAAGGGTAGGCAAACTTGGCTCTTTTATCACTTATGGACTTCAACTCCCAGAATTCCTGAGGGGGCCATAAAAGGTTCCTCATCCCTGGCCTACTGGTTTTTCAGTTGTGAGGGAAATCAATTTTGACTTGAATGGGACTTGAATTGACTTGATATGTCCTACATTTTATGGCTCCCTCAGGAATTCAGGGAATTGAAGTCCCATAAGTGATAAAAGAGCCAAGTTTCCCTACCCTGGTCTAACCAGTCTTTAAATATTGAATTCTTTATTGCCTCTTTCGTGATCTCTTTAACCTACCTATCTGAAATTCCCTGCCTTTCCTGGTCTGTGTTTTTTTATGGTCATAACTGTTGAAGGCTTCTGGTTCTGACAGGCCCATAGTTTCTGATCAGGATTGCTCCCACCAATAAAACCAGCCACTACCAGGAAATCAGACCTTCCCTCTTGGTGGGAATAAAGCCTGCTGTGCTTCCTTTGGATCTTGTAACCTACGTTTCTTCTTGGAATAGACCAGCTTCCTGAAGATTACTAGCAGTCCTCATTTAGTGACTGCCTCATTTAGCAACCATTCACAGTTACAACAATGGTGAAAAAGTTATGACCAATCCTCACATTTACAACCTTTGCAGTCTGAAAAACAAAGGAAAGCTAAAAATCATAAACACAGTCAGGGTTTCACTTAGCAACCACTTCATTCAATGAACAAGTTGCCGGTCATAGTTATGATTGCTAAATGAGGACTGCCTGTATTTCTAACATACACAGAAATTACCTTGTGAGGACTTTTTAAAGCCCTGCTAGCAGTTGTTGGATGCATTAGGACAAGGGTATCAAACTCGATTTCATTGAGGGCTGCATCAGGGTTGCATTTGACCTTGGAGGAGGCATGGGAGGTGCATGGCCAGCTCAAGGTCACTTGTGTCAGGGGTACCTGTGGTGGCCAAGTGCTAAGGCAGGACTTCTCTCTGACCCTCCCTCACTCTCATGATAACCTTCCTTCCTTCCTTTTCTTCTTTTTCCTTCCCTCTTTATTCTCCTTTCTTCTTCCGTTCCCCTCTTTCCGTATTTTTCCTTCCTTGCTCTCTTCCCATCTTCCCTTCTTTTTCTTCGTCTTTCCTCTTTCCCTTTCTCCTTTCCTGTCCCTTCTTGCATGCTCAAATGCAAAAGGGGAAATATTTCTCCTTTTGTTTTGTTTTGAGTTTGTTTTGCTAGGCCTCTGACAGCAAAAACGGAGCTTGGGGGGTGGGGCACGTGGCCCCATTTTGGCTGCAACGGCTTCCTGCAACCCTTCGCCAGCAAAAACTGGACCCAGGAGGTTTACGGTCCTTTGCTGTTTCCAGGGTGGCCCTGTGGGTGAGACATAAGAACCCTGTGGGCTGGATCTTCTCTCCCCCCCCCCCCCCCCCCCCCCCGCGTGCCCTGTGTTTGACATCATTGCGTATCAAGTCCTCCTGCTGTTCCAAACTAATGTGTGTCATCAGTTTCAATATTCCTTCACATTTTATTTCTTTGCTCCAGCATTGGCAAAAATAGTATACATAGAATCAGATATTTCTTTGTGTCCTCACTGCGATTAATAGAGTAGTATAGACTCAGCAATAGAAGGAGACTGATTCACATGTGAATTATATGACTGAATAGTTTTGAACTTTTGTCTCATCAAAGTTTTAATAATCCCACTGCCACGGTTCCAAACCAAGCCAGCAAAAGAGGCCGCACTGTGCAGAATGGGTCTCTTTACCGGAGTCTCAGCTTAGCACATGGTGAACCATACAAGTAAAGGGTTTCTAGCCAGCATTACTGGCTTCTGCTAGCCAGCTGGCTATACAGACTCAACACCCCGCCACCCTTCTGTTCCTGGTTGCTCCCAGCCGGCTCCAGCTAGTACTCTTCAGGCCTGGATGGCTTCTGAACTGCACACAGCTGGCTTGCCTTCCTGGCTCTTCTCCCAGTGTGAGTCCCATCACCCGACACCCATCTGTGCCCCCATGCACCCCCCTCCACCTGCTCGTGCGTGGCAACTCTGAAACGGTGTGCTGTCTCGGACGTTGACACACACTTTACTTATATGATGCAGATGTCGGTGAATAAAGTCACTTTTTGACTTGGTTCACTCAGCTGTGGCTTGCTTAATCCCTGCTTTCATAGGAATTAGTTAGAATCACACCGAGCTATAAACGGTGTTTTACCAAGCATGGTTTCTGTGATATATGCAACCTGCTAAGGCAAAACCAAACTTGTTATATTAGGGTTTGTGTTTCTCCTTCGGAATGAAAGAACTTGAGAAGTTGAATAGAATGGCTGAATAGAACTTGAGAAGCTGAATAGAATAAAAACATTTCTCAAAGACATTCTCTTCGTCTTGGAGAGATGTTAGGCCCTGAGGTTACTGGCATTCCCTGAGTCCTGAAAACCCCTTCTGTTTCAATGTGCCTTTGACCCACCGTATGATTGTGGGCACCCACTGAGCTCTGTGTATGGATTGCTTAAATGCCTTGATCTTTCCTGTACCATGTTCACAGTCCACAGAGAATAGAATGATATACAGAGATTGTTAATAAAGGAAGAAATGGGTGGGGGGAAACAATGTTTGGATCACTCTTTGGCTGGTCCTAGAATAACTCTTTATAAATATGGTTTTGAAATATGAGGCTGAGGGTCTTTTGCAGCTCTGAGCAAAAAAGAAATGCTCCCTCTTGATGAGCAGGAAACTAAGCCAGGATGAAATGTGCTCATCTGGTTGCCAATTCCTGCCCTGTTTCTTGTGCTTCTGTTCCCAGTCACTGCAGTCAATGGCATTTCGTGTTTGAGAATGGATTTTAGACTCCTTGAAGTGGCCCTTGGATGGTGTGGAAATCAGGAGACAAGGGCTGCTTTCACACCAGTCCAGCTCAGGTCCAGCTTAGGTCTCCTTCAAGCACTGGGGGTGGGATAAAGAGGACGTGACAGGAATAAAGAAATATTGCTATAATATGTTTGTGCTGGCCTATTTTATTTCTGGGAAAAGAAACCTATTTCCCACAGAATATATAAGCAGATCAATTTCTTTTTTAAAATGTACCTAGGTGGTCTACTCTGTTGTGCCAAGCTCCAACATTCTTGTGTACTCACCGTATTGTGTGAACTTTAAAATGGGTTAATTCAGCACAGGTTAAATACATTGTGTACATTCAGCCAGATTATTAGCCAGGCAGCATATCTTCACATAAAGCAAGGATCAGCAAGCTCTTTTTTTGTAAAAGGCCAGATAGCAATAGCACTTAAACTTATACAGGTAGTCCTTGACTTACACCCACAATTGAGCCCAAAATTTCTGTTGCTAAGTGAAATATTTGTTAAGTGAGTTTGCCCTATTTTGTTATCTTTCTTGCCACGGTTGTTAAGTGAATCACTAGTTGTTAAATTTGTCAAATTGTTTTTAAGTGAACTTGGCTTCCTCATTGACTTTGTTGTCAGAAGGTCGCAATGGAAGCAAACATTACTCTTATTCCAAAAGAAGATTCAGACTTAATGCAGATAAAAGTTTTAAAATGTTGCAAGATTCTAAAAATAGAGGAGGTCTTGGGCTACCAGATTGGGAATTGTACTATCAAGTTTTGATATTCACTTGGGTGAAAGAATGGATTGGCTTGAGAAACAAAAGACTATTGACCTTGGAGGGACAACTGGGTTGGCATGCTTTTTTATGGTACGGAAAAAATAAAATATATAGCTATTTCCAAAAACATTATATTAGAAATGCACTATTATCAGTTCAGGAGAAAATTAAAGAACAACATTATTTGAAAATACTGGTCTAGCTCTCAACAATGGAGGCATTGATTTACGCAAATGTTATTGATATGGAGAATATTACCATATATAAAGATATTTTGAATGAAAAGGGGGAAATTAAAACCAAACAGGAACTGAGTGATCAAGGGATTGAGATAACATGGTGGTCATATTTGCAGATACAATCTAGATATGAATATGATGTTAAAGAACTAACGAAAATAGATCAGTTGTTAACAGGAACAGATGAAAAAATAATAAATTATATAGCTACTTATTAAGTATCAAGATGGAAGATGAACAAGTAAAAGAGACAATGATAGCATGGGCAAAAAATTTTGGCTATCTGATTGAGTTAGATAAGTGGCAGAAACTATGGGATAGAAATTATAAATTAACAATGTCTATTACGTACAAAGAAAATCTTTATAAAATGTTTTATAGGTAGCATTTTCTGCCATCAAGTTTAGCAAAGATGTTTAAGGATACGTCTGCAAAATGTTGGAAATACCACGAGACACATGGGTCACATTATCAAAAATCCACACATGGATGGAAAAAATGATAAAACAGCATATTGACTTGAAACCAGAGATATTTTTGTTGGGCATTTTGCCGGATCAATACAATAGAGGGAATGCATATTTGATTTTGCATGTACTGACTACAGCTAGAATTGTATTTGCGCAACAGTGGTAATGTGAAGAGATCCCAACAGATGAAAATGTAATTTAAAAAATATTCGAATGTGCAGAAATGGATAGGCTAACACTTACAATCAAGGAAAAGAAGGAAACTGAATACTTTCAGACTTGGGACTTATTTTTACTAGATTTTTTATTAGAAGTCTATATTTACATAGACTTCTGTAAAGCCTTTGATTCAGTGGTGCACGACAAACTCCTGTTGAAACTAAGTTCTTACGGCATCTCCAGATCCCTGCACAAGTGGATAGCCATGTTTCTGTCAAACAGGCAACATATAGTCAAAATAGGAAGGGCCCTATCAAATCCAGCACCAGTTAATAGCTATGTCCCCTAAGGCAGCATTTTAGGCTCTGCACTCTTTCTGCTTTACATCAACGACCTATGCAATCATATTAAAAGCAGCTGCTTCCTCTTCGCTGATGACAGAATTATTTAACAGCACTGACAATGCTGCTGCCCTACAAAGGGACTGTGAATGGTTGTGCAATTGACAACTTCAAATCTCAACTAATAAATGCTCTGTCCTACACATTGGCAATAAAAATCAAAACACCAAATACATGTTGGGTGGAAACGATCTCGTAGACAACCCTCATCCTGTCAAGGTCCTAGGAGTACTCATCTCAAATGATCTAAGCCCCAGAGCTCACTGTAACAACATTGTCATTAAGAGTTGTTAACCTAATTTTGTGAAGCTTCTTCTCCAGTAATATTGTATTGCTAACTAGGGCATATAAAACCTTTGCCAGACCAATTCTTGAATACAGCTCGTCTGCCTGGAATCCACTCTGTATATTGGACATTAACACGATTGAGCGGGACAAGAGGTATTTCACAAGAAGAGTACTCCACTCCTCTACTCACAATAAAATCCCTTATGCCACCAGGCTTGAAATTTTGGGCATGGACAATCTGGAACTGTGACGCCTACGGTCTGATCTAAGCATAGTAACAAAATTGTCTGCCACAACGTCTTACCTGTCAATGACTTCTTCAGCTTCAACCACAATAATACAATGGCAAACAATCAATAGAAACTCAAGGTAAACTGCTTCAAACTCGATTGCAGAAAGTACAACTTCAGCAACAGTGGTCAATGCCTGGAAAGCTCTACCCGACTCTTTTGTTACACCCTCAAATCCTCATAGCTTCAACCTCAAACTATCTACCGTGGACCTCACCCCATTCCTAAAGAGGTCCGTAAAGGGGCATGCATAAGCGCACTAGCGTGCCTACCGTCCCTGTCTTACTATCCCCATTTATCTGTATGTAATTCCTTTGTTCATGTTTATGTCCATACTTATACTTGTTATCTTGTACATGTTTGACAAACAAACAAACACTATTGTCCTAATAGTGACTACAACTCTGACCTGGTGATCTTCCACCTCCCTATCCACTGTTCGCTTGTGAGCCACATAAAAAGAAGTACAGATAGACTTCAACCACCACAGTTGAGTCCAAAATTTCCATTGCTAAGGAAAGCAGTTGTTGAGTCAGTTACAACCTTTTCCCCCCACAGTTTTTAAGCAAATTACTGCAGTTATTGAGTGAATCATGTGGTCATTAACCGAATCTGGCTTGCACCGCTAACTTTGCTTGTCTGAAACCGGCTGGGATCACATGACCTGGGATAATGGTGATCACATGACCTGGATAGTACAACCACCATACATACCTGCCAATTGCCAAGTGCCTAAATTTTGATCACGTGACCATGATCAACAGTTGTGTGAAAGACAGCCATAAGTCACTTTTTTCAGTGCCATTGTAAATTTGAACAGTCACAACAAATGGTTGTATGTTGAGGAACACCTATATTGGGCTAGATTTGGCCTCTTGTCCATACCAGAGTTTGCTGACTTTTGCTATAAAGGAACTTTTACTTTCATTTGAGGAGTTAACACCTTCTGCATTTTTCTCCCTGCAGAGACTCTCTGTTCCATGGGCATGGTTCAACAGCTGGTGGCTCTGGTCCGATCTGAACACAGTACCTTCCATGAGCACGTCCTGGGAGCCCTGTGCAGGTATCAACAAGAATGAAATTCAGAGAATTAGAAGTGGGATTTGGATGTGGGGAAAATGTCCTTGGCAGAACAGGTGAAGGCCTATCTGTCTAAAAGAGGTAGCTCAAGAAAGAAGAAGACAAAAAAAAAGAAGGAAGGAAACATCGTAAGAGCTGCAGAAGACATTTCTCTTCACCAGTTATTATGGTGATTGCCGTCAGGGGGAACCACTGAGATTTGCCAAACTCTGGATAGTGCTCTAATCATTGTCTTCAATCTTGGGAAGGTGTGGGAACTTCCAATTCCAAAAATTCCACAGCAAGATTTGGCTGGTGGCTGGTGAATTCTGGAAGTTAAGGTCCACACTTCTTAAAAGTTTCCAAGTTTGAAAAACACAGGCTCTAAATAATGAAACTTAAGTGGATAGACTGCTGAGAACTGCATTCTTGTTTTTATTGTTTTAAAATGTTTTTAGTACTTAAATGGTAATATGTTTTTTGTATTGTAAGCCGTCTAGAGTCATTGACTGAGATTGGGAAACTATAGAAATTGAATGACTAAATTATTTATTCATATATATATTTATATTCTACTTTTGTTATTTAACAAATAACTCAAAACAGGTAATATATCCAACACACTTCTGCTATTTTTCCCACAACAACAACCACCCTGTGAGGTGGGTTGTGTTGAGAGAGAGTGACAGGCTCAAAGTTACCCACCTGGCTCTCATGGCTAATGGGGACTTTAATACACTGTCTATTGCTTTCTAACTCAGTGCCTCAGTTACCACTAGACCCAATTGGCTCTTTATTTAAATTTATTATAGCTGCACCCTCCAGTGAACACTGGATGGCTTACAAATGGAAAACATACATGCATACATTTAAAAACATGCAACTGTACAATTTTAAAACATTGCTTATAATTTGAGTAGGGAAGGGACTGATTGCTGAATGGCTGGCAGGAGCAATGAGTGGAAACAGTTCTTTCTCCATTCTTTGAGACTATGACTGTGTTTGTTAATTCATTATATTGATATTAGGTTTGTTTTAAAATCCAAGATGAGCTGACAGGGAATTTTCATCATATTAAAATTATTTTATGAAGGATCTGCTATATGCAACAAACCATATTAAGAATATGTAGCTGGGTCCTTGGTGTTTCCTTGGGCTCCAGATTTCATTTTAAATAAACACAAGGTTCAGCTGGCCCAGCCCTGCTAGCTTACAGGCCTTCTGAGCTACTGTGAGATTTGACTGGCCCCTATCCTGTTAAACTCTTAAGAAGACTTTGAAGAATTGGCTATTCCCTCAGCCACATGGGCCAGAATGTTAGAGAAGCTAATCCTGGAAAATGGAATATATGTTGATGAACCCTGACTGTTTTTTGTTTCAAATTTTGTTTTTATCGTTGTACACTGCCCAGACTCATATTTTTGCAAGTTGTCAGATCAAATGAAGCCATAAACAAACAAACAAATAGTTAAATAAAACAAAAGACATTCAGTTATCTCTCAGCTAACAAAAAGTATGGCTTCTTATCCATGTCTGTGCCATATATAATCAATATATTTTGCATAGGTTCACTATACAGCATGATACAATATGCTGTATTCCTTTCTCTGTTTTTGTTCTGTTTCTTTCATTCTTTTTTTCCTTTTTTTTTATTAAATGAATAAAGGACACCCAAATTCTTTTTTTTAAAAAAAGAAATTGTTAACTTCTCATTCACCCACCTCTAAGCTTTGCTTCTTTCTTTCTCTCTGTTTGACTGATATCCTTGAACTTTCCAGTCTGGTAACAGATTTCCCCCAAGGTGTGCGAGAGTGTCAAGAGCCAGAATTAGCATTGGAGGAACTGCTAAAGGAACGCTGTCAGCTGCTTAGGAATCAAGAAGAATTCCAGGTAGGCCTGCATCCAGTTACTCCTACTGTCACCTCCACTTTTTCAGTTACCTGATACTTGAGAAAGACTTGAGATCAGGGGTGGGATTCTACTAGTTCGCACCTATTTGCTAGAATCAGTTGTTAACATTCTAAGCAGTTCGGAGAACTGGTTGTTAGAAGAAATTACTGGCCTAATCCTGTAAGGAAGGCAGGAAGGAAACATTCTGGTGTTGCTTACAGAAACTGCCTCTCCGTTAACCCTTATTACATTCTTGGCAGGACTAGACTTCCTGTCTCAGGAACATCTCTGGAGTTTTTTCCCCCTCCTTTGCTAGTACTTTGCTTGTGTGGAGTGAGCATTCAAAGTTAGAATGGCACTGAAAAAAGTGACTTATGACCATTTTTCACACTTACGACTGTTGCAGCATCCCCACAGTCATCAGAGGCCAGGCGAGGAGATGCATGTTAAGTTGGCCACACCCAGCCAATAACATGACCACCAAGCCATGCCCACCACCTAAGCCACGCCCACAGAACTGGTTGTTAAAATTTTGAATCCCACCCCTGCTTGAGGTGTTACCTTGAGAAACATTTTGATAAGAATGGGATAAGGTGATGGGGGCCAGAAAGATGGGGTTTCAAGAAAAGGGGAGGGGGTAGCCTGGGGGACATCTGAGAAAAAGAAAGGAGGAAAAAACATAAACATCTATATCAGATTGAAAATTATGAAGGCAACAAGTTCCAGGGGAAATATAATGAAAATGGAACTGACAACTGTAGCAAAGACTGTGAAATCGGGGACATATATATATTTAATAAATATTTTTTTTAAAGTAGAAGACTGAAGAACAGGTGAACAAGAACTTCAGAATCTCTTTGGATAGCGATAGGACAGGAACAGAACAGAATAAATAATAAAGTTGGAAAGGATCTTGGAGGTCTTCTAATCCAGGGGTCCCCAACCACCGGTCCCTGGACCGGTACCGGTCCGTGGATCATTTTTTACCGGGCCGCAAAGCTTAGGCGCCGCCATCTTGTTTCGACGGCGCTTCCGGGTTTTCGGTTGCTTCTGGGTTTTCGGTTGGAAAGTGCTTCCGGGTTTTCAGTTGGAAAGCGGCGTTTGGGTGCTCGCGCCTTAGCTTCGTCGAATGGGGGTGGCGGCTTCGAACGAAGAGCCGTCCCGATGGCGGTAGAGTCTCACGTTACTCAGGTACCGGTCCGTGGAAGAATAAATAATCATGAAACCGGTCCCTGGTTCAAAAAAGGTTGGGGGGCCACTGTTCTAATCCAACCCCTTGTTCAGGCAGGAAACCTAATACTATTTCAGACAAATGGTTGTCCAATCTTAAAAACTTTCAGTGTTGGAGCACCCTTCTTAGAGGCAAGCCGTTCCACTGATTGTTCTAACTGTTAAGAAGTTTCTTCTTAGTTCTAGATTGCTTCTCTCCTTGATTAGGTTCCATCCATTGGTTCTTGTCCTGCCTATTTTGGAGAATAGACATATGTCCTCTGGATGCTGCCTCTTGTGAGGGAACTGCAGGACAATGGTTTTCTATGGGTTTGAGTGTTGAGAGACAAAGGGATCGGCCATCTTGCTCACAACTGTCACAGAGCCTTTTAAAGAACACCATGTTTGCAAGCCTCACTTTCTAACCACTTTTAGAAATTGGTTATTAATCATTTTAAAGCTATTAGAGACCTTTGGAACAACAAGTTTGAAAAATTATAAATGTAAGGACTTAAGATATTTTGAAATGAACAGTAAAAGACTAAGAATTTGATTTATTTTCTCAATAGATTAAGGATTTGGATAAATTTAGAATATTGCTAAGATTTTGGAATTGGCTATGAATTGGTTTCTTATGGAAAACAGTGATATATTGACTATTCTGGCTATTGTAAGCCACAACAAAGGTAAGTTACTTTAGGATTTTAGAAGCTGGACACCAGTTTAAACTTTAAAGGGGGATTAGATATTCTGAGCAGAAGAATAAAAATACAAGTCTGTTATTGATGTCAATTAATACTGCGACTTACAAAATGACAGAAACATAACATCGGAAATATTAAAGGAGATCTCTAAAGAATGAAGCCAGAAGTTAGTAGCTATATTATCGACAATATCACTAATGATGTTCGATTCTGTGGATAGATTATGTCTAGAAGATGTCAATGAGGGAATGACAGGTTTATAGCAAATGTTATCTGACAAGATAGACAAAGTACCAGAAGTGGAACTACAAATGACACTCCAAGAGAATAATCTGAAAAAGACCCTTTTTGGATATACAAAAGAAACTCCCTGATGTTTGAAAACTTAAAAGGAAAATATAAATAGAGAATGATCTGGGAAATATTTTCTTACTAGATCTACAAAAGAGGCATATTAAACATATTAAAAGAAATTTTGTGCAATGGGATAAAGAGAAATTAAATCCTATAACAATACTTGATTGAATTAGAGATTAAGATTGTTAGAAGTAAAAGGAACAAATATAAAGTTGATTTATTTAATCAAGAGTCAATTTGGTGCATGGATGTTCAAGCTTCTGGCTTGCCTCAGCTACATTGAGTAAAGAGGAATTGTCTTGGGCCAAATATAAAATGCATAATTAAGTTAATATATGTACATCACATAATAATGTTAAAACTTTGCGATCTTGTGAGGATGCATTACTACCTGTCCAGGGGCGCATGCAGTTCATGGGTTACAGATTAGACGTGCCTTGTCTAGTAATTCAGTCACCAGGATAGAAAGTAAGAGTTCGTGAGTTCAAGTCCCTCCCTAGCTATGAAAGCCAGCTGGGTTACTGGGCCAGTCATTGTCTCTCAACCCAAAACAATCACACAGGATTCTTGTGCTGGAAAACTAGGAGGAGGAAGGTGTATTGGATATGATTGCTGCCTTGAGTTATTTATAAAAACAATAAAGGTGGGATATATAAATACATAAAAACATAAAAGTGAGACCATTTTTTTTGCCAAGTTCTGGCAATTCTTTCTGGACTTTTTTCTGATCCCAGGACTGAAAAGTTTATGTTTTATGAATTTATTTATAGATATGGGATGGGATATGGGATGAAGAGATAATCCTTTTGTAACCTGAAAAGGAGCTAAAAGTTATTAAACTTGTTGATATTTGTTGTGATAAAGGTTGGATGTCACTACTTTATTTTTTTTTCTTTCCTGTACATTTTCTTCTTCTTTTTCCTCCTTTCTCTTTATCTAAGTTTAGTTTGTATTGTTTTTACTATTATAATCAAAATTCTTATTGAAATTATATTAAAAAAAGAAAACAGTGAAACCACACAGCTCTGCCTTATTGGCAAGGGCTGACCACCAAGTTTCTGGATGCAGTTCAGAGTGCTGGTTTTAACCTTTAAAGCAGGGGTCCCCAACCTTGGCAACTTTAAGCCTGGAGGACTTCAACTCCCAAAATTCCCCAGCCAGCAAAGCTAGGGACATCTGTCCTCACTGTGAGTTGTGTTGGGGGGGTGCACGAAGGGAGACTCAGCCAATCTCATTGTACACATGTTGTACTCTGACAATAAAGGTAATAATAATAAGAAAAACAAACCTGCCTCTGCCTCCCTGCTGCCTGGAACGGGTCAAAAACGGGGCACACAGAGGCCAAAAACAGGATGCGGAGGCCGAAAATGGGGTGCCCAGAGGCAACAATAGGCAATGGCGATCCCTGCAGCCTGAAATAGCTGATTGTCAGGAGGCTGATCCAACCGACAATCAGCTGCTTGTGCTAATCAGGCTGTGCTGAACCTGACCAGGCTGTTTGTGCTGCAAGGAGGCAAATTGCTGGGAGGCAGAGGCCGAAGGATGTGGTCTGGTGGGTGGGCAGGGCTTCGGCAACATTGGCTGTATAAGATGCACAAAGATTTCCACCCCCTTTTGGGGGTGGAAAAAGTGTGTCTTATACTCCGAAAAATACGGTATATACCACTCCACAGTGCTTTACAGCCCTCTCTAAGTGGGTTACCGAGTCAACATATTGTCCCCAACAATCTGGGTCTTCATTTTACCATCTTTGGAAAGATGAAAGTCTGAGTCAGCCTTGAGCTGGTCAGGATCGGGTGCCTGGAACTCCTGGAGTGAGTGGTGAGTTATCCTGCAATACTGCATCCTCACCTCTGTGCCACCACGGCTCCTGGCCTGACCCTTCATAAGGCAGCCGTTGGCTGTGCCAGGCCTTCTTCCTGAGGCTATACGAGGCCTTGTCCAAATTGTGTGGAGCCTTCTCACAAGACTTAGAAGCAAAGTGAGCAAAGCACAGGGTGGCAAGGCCAGTAGAGGGGGAAGGGCAGGGCAGCCGAAAGAGCAGAGATGGGTGGAGTTGAAGAGGAGAAAGTCCCTTAGCTTACTGAGACTTGGGGCTGGGAGGGACCAAGCCAGGAATGTGTTGGATTGGGTGGGATTTGGTTAACAACAGCATCCAAGAATGCTTGAGTTGCTATTGTTAAATGATGCAGTCATGTGACACGGAACTTTATAACCATATTGCTTAGTGATGGAAATTTACAGTCCCTATTACATTAGTTAACTGAAGACTGCCTGTGTAATCAAACTAGTTTTAGTATTCATAACTTTGGGGTTCAGGTCAGGTCTACCTTTGGCTGGCAGGCTGTTGGTTATTCCCCACTTCCATGATGCAAGCAGGCTTGACCTAAGATATGCTGTTTTTTTCATTATGGCCCCAGATTGTATATTTGCAGTCTGCTCTTACAAATTACATTGGCCTGTCCTTTCAAAATCATTCCGGAGGATAATAAAGACAGATCATGCTGATGAAGATTAAACATTAATTATGTAACTACTGAGGGTAATAATGCAGTTTTATTGGATTAGTTGGTAGCTTATTTAGTAATTTAGTAACATAATAGTGCCTACTGGATTGGGCCCCGTCCCATCAGTCAATTCTCACAGTGGTCAGCCAATTGCACAAAAACATCCAGGAAAAATCTTACTATTGCCTGAAAAGAACAAGCCATTAAGAAATCAAAGTTTGAA